TCAAACTGGCGAACTCCTGAATTTTTGGAGGTCGGGCCCGATGATGACTGCCATTGATAAATCTGATCGGCCGTCGTTTCGTTTCGGCCTCGGAAAAGGTTGGACGCCTACCAGAGGCCCGCTATTTTCCCAAGCGGCAAAGGTACTAGTGGTCCTGAGTTGGGGTCCTGCGGGAATCATCTGAATGAATAACTCTGAATTTCTGGTACCCGTTAGTACGCGATGATGATGATACCTCGATTTCGTCGGCTGCAGGTTTCCGTCATCAGGTCGAAGAATTTGGCAAAGCAAACACTCCCCCCCGTCTCCCTCCCCGCCCCTCACTTTTTTGACGGGGGGTAGGTGGGGTGGCTGTGTACAGCCGGCTATCCCTCTAACCCCCATCTCTGAACACCCGTGCGCCTCCGTTAACCCTCCGATTTTGCGGGCCACCTATTTAACCCCCATCTCCAGGCTACTCTTTGAAGCCTTCGATTTGCCGGGCTACCCTTCTAACCTTTATATCCGGGCTAACTCCCCATGTCCGGGCTACCCCTCTAAACCCCATCCCTTCACACCCGGGCACCTCCTCTGACATATCCGTGCTACCCCTCTAACCCCATCTCCGGGCCCTAGGGGGCAAGTGTTGGTGTGCACCGGTAAAGGATCTCAGAGTGTAAAGATAGCCCTATCAGAATGCACCTGGGCGCGTGCATGGTCGGGTGCGGGTCATGCACCTGCCCTTCACGTCCAAGTGCATGTTTCGTGAGCCTCTTTTGTTCCTACCCGTACGTGGCCCAGCGCGCCAGTCTTCCTTTTTCGGAAGATTTCCCAGTTTTTTTCTTTTCCCCCCCGGACTTTTCCCAGCTTTTCAGAGCCGCTGCCATCTTGTTTGCATGTAATACCAAACTTCCGCTTTTTTTTTTTTTCTCTGACTTCCGAGTTTTGGCATGTCCTGCAAAATTGATTGATTGGGTCTTAATTTCTTAATTGATTTTTCGCAAACATTGATCCGCGCCGCTACTACATGGCCGGCGGTACAGGAAGGTGCGCCTGCCAAAAAAAACAGAAAAAGGAAGGGGTTACGTGCCTCTAACTAGGAGAAGGATGTCGGACGCTTCCCGCCCAACATTGCACCTGAAAAATAAATGTTCAATTAATCCCTGCGTTTTTGTTTTTTGGTAATTCTTTCGAGAATACATATTACTGTAAGTAGAAAAAAGAGTCAAAATCAGCCCGCGCCTTATAGCCAGAGGACGTCAAAGGTCCTTATTTTTTTGTTACACCAAATCTCCTTTTACCCCACGGTGCCCAACTGAAGATGACCCATCATTCAACCCTAATATTCAATCCCATCTCTTTCCTTTTTTTTTTTTTAATCTTTGCCAAGTCATCAACTCGTGGGGTGACGGGGCGAAAATGCGCACAGGCTCATCAGGTTACAGAAATGCCCTGCTCTTCCTCCCTCCCCCTCCCTCCCCTCCCTCCCCTCCCTCCCCTCCGTTCCCCCCTCCCCCTTGTGCCTTACCCCCAAAAAGTGATGTGGAATCAGCTCCGAGGTCCTGAACTACCACTCCACAAAATTCTTCCTCTTCCACCATCTCCTCCTCCACCTCCTCTTCATCCTCCTCTTTCTTGTCCTCCTCCTTTCTTCTGCTCCTACTCCTCCTCCTCTTTCTCCTTCTCTACCTCCTCCTCCTCCTCCGTCTTCTTGTCCTCCTCCTTCTGCTCTTCCTCCTCCTCTCTCCTTCTCCTCCTCCTCCTCCCTCCTCCTCCCTCCTCCTCCTCCTCCTCTTCTTCTTCCTCTTCGTCTTCTTCTCCTTCTTTGATCTTTTTTATTAACCATCTCTATTCATTGCCGGTTGATTTTTCTCTCCTCTATTTTCGTCTCTCCTCTTCTTTCCTCCGGTATCTCCTTCTTTGTCGCCTATATCCTCAGATGAGTACACACCACCTCCACCTCTTCCTGTTTTCTGTTTCGCTTGCTTGCGATCTTCTTGCTTTTCTTCATGGGCTTTCGTCTCTTTCTTATATGCCCATTTCTTGCCCTCCTTTTTTATCTTCTCGGATACAACTGATCGACTTGATTGATATGGTTGATATCTATTTGATACATCTCATTAATGTATTTATGAAGCTGATGGGGTTGATGATTTTGGATTGGTAGATTTGATACATCTGACTGACTGATTGATTGATTGAGTGATTGAGTGGGTACGGTGATTGATTTGATAAATTTGCCTTTGCCTGATCAATTTGGTGGATTTAGTGATCAATGATAATTGTGATTTTTTGGTTCAATATGGTAGATTACTAGATTCAATCTTTAGCCTTTATAGGCTTGATTGGTAGATTTAGTACATTTGATTGATGATTGATAGACCGGTTTGATTGATTTGATTGATGCGGGTAGGAGAGACACACAGCAACACACACACACACACACACACACACACACACACACACACACACACAGAGAGAGAGAGAGAGAGAGAGAGAGAGAGAGAGAGAGANAGAGAGAGAGAGAGAGAGAGAGAGAGAGAGAGAGAGAGAGAGAGAGAGAGAGAGAGAGAGAGAGAGAGAGAGAGAGAGTCTGACAGTGATCGCTGTGTCTGTGGCTTGCTGGTTGTGTTTCAGACTATAGCACATGTTGTTGATGGAGACGAGATCTGATCTGAGTGGCCTTTCCCTGATACATCTACGGCTGCTACTCGATCAGTCGATGAGCGATCAGTTGATGCCTCTGAAGACCAGAATGAGATGATGATCAGCTTCTGATTCTTCCTCCCGCCCCTATCAACGAGAGGCAGTTTGTGCGTTGGACAAAGAGTATCTTAGGACGCACTACAGCGGTTTTAGAGCGTTATATATTGATCGTGTTCATTAGCCAATCTCTTGCTACGATAATGTGAACGGGCTGTCCACTGACTCTTGCTCTCAGGGCTGCGGTTTCTTGATTCAACCCTCGTTCACCTTCTTTACCTTCTCCTCCTTGTTCTTGTTCTTGTTCTTGTTCTTGTTGTTCTTCTTCTTCCTCCTCCCTCCTCTCTTTTCCTTCATCTTCTTCATCTTCGTATTTTTGTTCTTCTTCTTCGCCTCTCTTCTTTTCTTAACGCCCATCAATCTAGAGTATTGAATATTGAGTACTGAGTGAGCGAAGGGCTTAACAGCCGTCATCGCTGCATGCAAGTAGTTGAATTGAATAGCCACTCAGTTTCCGGGCACAGGCTCACTTGTGAGTAGCCTATTTATAGATTAGGCTAAGGAATTCATGGATTAGTAGACTAATCTATTATATAACTTTGTGACGATATATGTTTCCTTCCTCTTTTCGTTGCCTCTTTGCCTTTTGACTGTGTGCAAGTGGGTCGATATGACACACGGGGGTGGGGGCAGCCGCCGCTCAACCTACACCTACGTGGGCGGCCTTGTACGCAGCAGGTTTTGAACAGGGGGAGTTGCAAGTAAGAAGATAAAAAAATGAATTGATATCTTTCTTGTGTCCTTTTGTTCTTTTTCGCTTTGGCCCTCTGATAACTTTGTGACGATATATATCCGACGAAACAGTTTGTCACAGCCCCTTGTTTGTTGTCCTCTTCTCTCTCTCTGCCTATGGTTTACCGGGCAGCTCTGTTTGACGATATATAGATTAGTACCCGAACAATCTATTTTTATGGGTGCGTAGTCTACTCTATAGATCTACTTTCCTCCCCTGACTAAGGGGGTGAAGGCCCTGAAGGGTGTATTGCCTAATGAGGAATAGCATTTTTTTTTTCCTGATAAAAGTCGACTGCATCAGTGTAGGCAAATTCTTCTTGTCCGGATGTCGGGCTAACTAAGAAATAACTCACTGAAAACAGAAATTAGAAACATTAGATCAGATTTGAGGAATAAAAAGTAATCAACCTACATGCTGTGAATATATTAGATTAGATTGGATGAGATTGGATTGGATTGGATTAGATTGGATTGGATTAGATTGGATTAGTAGATTAGATTCGATTTGATCCGATTTGATCCGATTCGATTCAAGTCGATTAGATGTACAGATTGTTCTATATATAGGATATGGGTAACAGGACCTACCTGTATTGGGAAATTTTTGCTGTTGCATGCCCTACTGCTTATACACTCTACAACTGTGCAACCAGTCAAAATCTGTCAGAGAACAATCTGCTTTTCAGGGAGGAGAAAAGGGGTGTAGAAGCAGCTCTTCCCTATCCCCCCCTCCCCCTCCCCCTCCCCTACCCACCCCGAGGAAGAAGCAGAAAGGTAGTCGAAGAAGATTCACCTGTTGCTTGTGGCGAAAAAAATGGTTTTTTTTCGAAGCACTGGTGCTGCTCTTGCGGTAGGTCATGTATCATCATTGTATGGATGGGAGTGGACTCAATGCTTGGCCATCCGGCATATTAGTAGTCGTGGTGGGGGACCACCACATGCCTGCCTGTCCCCTTTAAGGAATCTGCAGAGGTCGGTATGTTGCAGCCACAATCTCCCAATTTACATGACAAGAACAAATACGAGAAACACCATTGTTTCTTATGCGCGTGGAGGTAACGATGACCATTCCCAATCTGTGAGGTTTTCTGTTGCAGTAGATGAGAGTGCCCCAACTCTTCCTTGTTCTTCTACTCCCCCTCTCTTGGGACCAGGAAATCTCCGCATGCATGTGGCGTGCTGTTACAATTATAGAAGAAGAATAATCCGATTGTCAACCAGATCCTCAATCCGACCCTCGGTCCGATCCTCAATCAAATTGTCAATCGGATCATCAACTCGATTGGAAGTCCGATCGGCAGTCGAATCGTCGGTTGGGTCATCAATGCGATTGTCAGTTGGACCGTCAACCCGATCATCAACCGGACTGTCAATCCAACCCTTGATCCGATCCTCAATCCAATCGTCAATCCGCCGATCATCAAGTCAATCATCAATCCGATCGTCAGTCGGATCGGCAGTCGAATCGGAAGTTGGATCATCAATGCGATTGTCAGTTGGACTGTCAACGCGATCGTCAACTGGGTCGTCAACCCGATCATCAAACCGATTGTCAATCAGACCCTTGATCCGATCCTCTATCCGAGCCTTGCTGCCCCGGTTAATGGAAGGCCGGTCATGCAAGCAATGGTTAGCAGAAGAGGCTATTACAGCACAGCTAGACCTGCATCGATGGATTGATAAGCAGCGGCAGTCAATCTGTGTCAGAGCAAGCGAGATAAGGGAAGATCAACAACAGCAGCAACAATCAGATGCTCAATTGCCATCATCATCATCATCCTCATTGTCGATATCATCAATGTCATCATTGTCGTCATTGTCGTCAACGTCACCATCGTCATACCCGGATGTCAAACGATGGCGGCCGGTTTCCAAGCGAGAGGAGTGGGGGGCTTACAAGATGGCCATTGCCACAGGAGACACGTCAGCTGCGCTTTCTGCCTTGGAGTCTCTGGAAGAAGCTCTGAACACTTATGAATCGGGGACATATGGAGTCCCATCTCCTGCCCAGTCGAGCACTCCCTTGTCTTCTCGATCCTCGATGTCAGCTTCAACATCACCAGACTCGTCTCGTTGCGAAGGCGAAGGAGGAGAAGTGGAATTTTCTGACCAGGAGTCCTCTTCCTCTTCTTCCTCCTCTTTGTTTGAAGATAGGCAAAGCTATGGATCGGAGTCAGAATCTGCATTTTCATCTTCGAGAGGCAGCAATGTATTGTCTCCATCTGTTCATGATATCTTGTCAAACTCTGAGTCTGACATGCAGCTGCTGTCAGCATCTGAACCTGACCTCTCATTTTTGTCAGCTGTCGGTGGGAGAAACCTGGATGCAGAGGTGGAGGAGGTTGAGGAGGAGGTGGAGGAGAGTGATGGATGGATGAAGGAAAGCAGGAGTGAGTGGGTGAACAAGAAACAGTATCTAACTTCAGTGTTTCCAGAAATCAAGTCAGACTGCATTCTGTTGCTTGACACGTGTCTAAGCACACCCGATATCAGGTTGGTTATCTCAGCTTATGACTGGCTACAGAAGAGGAAAATTCTTTCCAATTTCGGAAAGGAGAAGCTGTCAGCCGCAGGCCCATCTGACCTGCCCGAAATGATCACGCCATCTGTCTTGAAATCGGTGACGGGGATGGATGTCTCTTGTCTTGCGCCACAGAAGTGGGGAGTGTCAGGGTCTTCAGCGATCGTACTTGCTGTCGCCCTCGCCGCCTTCTCCGCCGCTGAAGACGCTACCCTCCTTGTGCGCCCGATTGCGGTACTGTTGATGTGTGTTGGAATTGCAGACAGTGTGTGGCTTGGTGGCCGGCTCTTCAGCTCCCTGGCAAGCTCCTTTTGGAAACCTTACCGGAAACGGGTGATGGTCCATGAAGCGGGTCACACCGTTGTTGCATATTTGTTGGGGTGCCCGATTCGCGGTGTCGTTCTCGACCCATGGCAGGCTATGAACATGGGTATTCAAGGCCAGGCGGGGACACAATTCTGGGATTCTACCCTGGAAGAAGAGCTGCGGTCTGGAAAATTGTCGGCGGCGTCGTTAGATCGTTACTCCATGGTTCTGTTTGCCGGGATCGCTGCAGAGGCTATGGTTTTTGGCCAAGCAAGTGGCGGTGAAAGCGACGAAAACATGTTCAAAGCCATCATCAAGCAACTCCAACCTGCATGGTCTGCTGCAAAAATGTCGAATCAAGCTCGCAGGGCTATTGCAAAGTCCTTTCTATTACTCAAAGCTAACAGAAAGGCACTCATCGCTGTCGTTGACGCCTTGGAGGAGGAGGGCGGGAGGATGTCAGCCATAGCTATGGCTGTTGAGAATGCGCTATCGCCGGTGTCATGATGAAGGCACAACTGGAAAACATAAATAAATTATTCTAGAGTTCAACAAGGTCTGTGTTGCTCGTGCTGAGTTGGACTTCTGAGTGCGGCTTAGTTGTCTGGATCCCTATGTAGAATCTGGATAGTTATTTAGATGAATATATGGATCTCGATGGTCATCCAGATGCGTGAGCGCCCATAGGAGGAAGGGGATGTCGAATCTATGGTGCTTGTTTTTTTCTTTTCTTTTTTTAATTAGTATTCTACTATTCTCATGATAGGTTTGGAGAAGTCGATAGGACAGATTAGTGGTAGTAGTACTTGTGGAGGAATAATGATGAGCACAAAGTGTCTTGAAGGGGTAGCCCCTAACATCATGTTTTTTCGGTTGTTTTCTTTTTTTTTAGAGGGGGGGGGGGGGGGGGGGGTTGGTGTGGATTTTAGGGGGTAGTCCCTAACAGCAGTTCTTGTATAGCTTTTGGTGGAGAAATAATGATGAGCAGAAAGTTTTTTTTTTTTTCAAAGATAAAAATTGAAGGGGTGACCTTTGACATTACTCATTTTTCCTTTATGGAAATTTTAAGGCGCAGTGTCTTGCATTGGTGTAGGTGGAGGAATAATGATGAGCAGAAAATCTTTTTTTTTTCACTTCTTTTTTCCAAAGGTTGCATGTGAAGGGTTATTCCTGAACATACCCTCCTTGAGCTCTTTTCCTTTATTTGTTGAAAATTTAAGGGCTAGACGCTCACATTACTCAACAGGACTCGAACTCTTGTTAACTAATGACTGACCATTCTCGGTGATGCCATGTAGCCAGCCACAAGGCAGGTAACCCGGAAGGAATGAAGAAGCGGACAAGGAGAACGAAGACGCAGAAGAAGACAAAGAGAATGAAGGAGAGGAGGAGGAGGAGGAGGRGGAGGAGGAGGAGGAGGAGGAGGAGAAACAAATGAGTTTCTCTTTCTTCTTCTCTTTTTGTCCGTTGTCCTGTTCTGAGATGATGTCATGGTGGAAACTTGGATAGATGTGTGTATTACCCTTGCACTATGGGGAATATGATCTTCTCTGGTGCCAAGCAGATAGACTTTTATTATCGCTAATAGGTTCCTCTTAACACTCTCTCTTCTGCAAAGGAGGAAGACTACGAAGATGACAACGAAGAAGAAGAAGAAGAAGAAGAAGAAGAATAAGAAGAAGAAGAAGAAAAACGAGGAGGAGGAGAAGGTAGAAGAAGAAGAAGAAGAAGAAGAAGAAGAAGAAGAAGAAGAAGAAAATAAGAAGTTAGTTGCTTTTTCCTATCAGTTTGACTGTTTACCTACTGTTTTTCAAGATTCTATTAAAAGAGCATGACCAGAAGTGAAAGATGAATGATTTGCATCAATACCTATGCTTGTGATTTCACTTCGTTGAAACTCTAAGAGTCTATACAGTGTGCATCGTACACTTTTTCCTCTCTAAGTGGCATGCACCTGCTGCAATTGTAAACCAGGTTCATGATTAGTGCAGCACAAGTATCAGAAGTCTGAGGCAATTGAACTTAGATGTTGCTAAACAAGCATGAACCTGACCCGAAATGAAACCAGATACATGCTTAGTGTTGCACAATTCCTTGGCGCTGGTTCTCTCATTTCCTCCACGAATCATCATAAACCATCCATAAAGCAAGAAAATTAGAGATAGGCAAGATAGTAAAAAAGGCAAGGTTGGCCACATCTGTGTGGGATTTGTGTGTGTGTTTGTCCGTGTGCGTGTGTGTGTGTGTGTGTGTGTGTGTGTGTGTGTGTGTGTGTGTGTGTGTGTGTGTGTGTGTGTGTGTGTGCGTGCGCCTATATGTATCTGTGTGGCCTCATACGTGCAGCTGTGTGCCAAGCGAGAATGCGCTTGCGCGTGTGACCGCCAACACTAATCGAAACCCCACCTATTATCTTCTCCCGAATAGAACTTATGGTCATTATAGGTGTGCATTTGGGCAACTCTCAGTCTAGATACAACAATGATGACAGTACATTCTGATCGGCTGAAGACAGTAGGGGCAGGGCAAACTAATATGGAAGAACATACACAGCAGGGAGTTACTGGCATCATCATCACCAATCACCCAGTCCAAACAACGAAACCATGTGCTCGAAAAGGCTGCCAGCCTTGTTAGTCATTAGCTCACTCAGCAGGCAACATGCAAACGAGAAAGGCACCCCTCACGATGCCCAGCCACTAAAAGGGGAATACGACACAGGCCTGCAGGCCCCCAAAACCATTAGCTGTTATGATCCTGGTATCTAACAGTGCAAAATATCAAAGAAAGAGAATGTCGTTCAGTTGCGACTGAAATGAAAGAGATTGGGAAGAGAAATAAACAAAGAAGGCAGAAGAAATGAGAATGGAAGAAGAGGAAGACGAAGCTGAACACAAGCAAGAACCAATATCACTTCTCCCTCGTCTTGCCACCAATTCCCTTCTGCAGCATCTCCCTCGACATCTTATTAATAATAATAATCAATGCATTGAGCCACACTGCTCGCCACGTTGAGCACAAGTGTACATTGAGAGACCACACGGAATCCACATCGAAGACCAGAGATGCAAAGTCCAGATTAGCGCAGCTTAGAAATTCCAACGAATTATCATAGTGAACAGTTTCTGAGTTCCAGTCACCAAACGCTCAACAGCGCAGAGTTCAGCAACCCATATCCAGCATCCTCTCTCTGTTCCTCTCTTCTTATCTCTCTCTGCCTATCTCATGCATGTGCCCTCTCTCTCTCTCTCTCTCTCTCTCTCTCTCTCTCTCTCTCTCTCTCTCTCTCTCTCTCTCTCTCTCTCTCTCTCTCTTCTCTTATACACATCTAGATGTGTATAAGAGACAGGCTCCATACTGCTCGCCACGTTGAGCACAAGTGTACATTGAGAGACCACACGGAATCCACATCGAAGACCAGAGATGCAAAGTCCAGATTAGCGCAGCTTAGAAATTCCAACGAATTATCATAGTGAACAGTTTCTGAGTTCCAGTCACCAAACGCTCAACAGCGCAGAGTTCAGCAACCCATATCCAGCATCCTCTCTCTGTTCCTCTCTTCTTATCTCTCTCTGCCTATCTCATGCATGTGCCCTCTCTCTCTCTCTCTCTCTCTCTCTCTCTCTCTCTCTCTCTCTCTCTCTCTCTCTCTCTTTCTCTCTTTCTCTCTTTCATGTGCCCTCTCTCTCTCTCTCTCTCTCTCTCTCTCTCTCTCTCTCTCTCTCTCTCTCTCTCTCTCTCTCTCTCTCTCTCTCTCTCTCTTCCCCCTAGAAGATCTTGACTTTGGATACATCCGCTACTACTCAGCTCTACCTCCCACTACTAGCTGTGCGGCTGTGGGCGCCTTCCTCCCTTAGCACAGCGCTGCCCAGCCAGGGCTCTAGCGCATGCTACTCGCAAGCACCCAACAGCACTTCCACACTTCTTGCGAATGAGCAATCTGTCTGAAATGTGGTTGGTCAGTCCTTATATTGACTTGGACTGAGCTTTGACTCGTTCCAGCCTCTGCTTCCCTTGGTTGACTTGAACCTGGTACCGGCTGCCCGCTGCCTGTTTGCTTCAGAATGTTCTTAATATCATGTCCAAAGGAAGGCTGTCCTCCACTAAGAGTGCTAGGGAGTGCAAAACTTTCTCTACCTTTCCCCCTGCCTCCAACCGGAAGTATGCCTTAATCTCCTCAACATACTCACTCACTACCATCTATGTATCATCTCTTTATTATCGACCAACTTACTGATGATCGATAACTCTTTAACTTCTTCACCTTCATACCAAGGCATCTTTTGCAACCCTCTTCGACTCATATAACTGCGCGTTGACCCACTGTCTACTAATTCCCCTGTCCTATCTCTACTTCTACATCTGCTATTATTAGCTGCCCCTTCGACTTCTTCATTTCGGCCCAAGCGCGATGACGACTGATCAACTCATCACCAATGCTTGTGAGGGAACCACCTGGAGAGGTTCTCACATAAGCAACCTCTGGACAACTAGCTAGGTGGGGGCCTACATCAGTCTCTGCCGTTTGGACCTTCGGCCAGGAGGGTGCCTGTTCAGCGCGCGCTTCTATCTTCCTGTCTAAGTCCGAAGTCCGCATAGAGGCAACTACAACCTCTACTGGCTGTTCCCTTTTGGGTACCTATATTCGGGACAAGGGAACGATGTGGTCGGAGTCACCACACTTAAAACATTGGTTGGCCTTGCGACGCTCTTCCCAAACCCTCTCGTCTATTCCCATTTGCTCCCAAGGTTTGCCTTCGGCTATACCCCGGTGTGCTAGGTACGGTCGCCAACTCCTGCCTCTACCTCTACCACCTTGCGAGGGACCATAACCCCTTCCTCCCACGTAGTAGCTTCCTTCGCCACCACCCCTCTGGGCGGCGGGTCCTCGACCTCCACCTTCATCCTCGATCTCTTTTACCTCGGCCTCTACCTTATGCCCTCCCCCACGGGCTGCAACTGCCGCGTAGTCTCCTTCCCAGGCTACTTGGCTGTTGTACTCGTCTAAACTGTAGTCTATCTGGTCATTCGGTAAAGACTCTACGCCTCCTTCTTCGAAGGTGACCAAGAGACTATCTTTCCCTTCTATACTACCGGATATGGTTCTGTTCTTCCATCTTTTCCCTGCCTGCAAGTCCTTCGAAAAGTGGCAATAGCTTGCTTCTTGCAGGAATTCAGCGTAGTTTACAACTGTCTTGCTGAACTTTTCATAAGTCATCCCCTCTTCTTTGGTTCGGGAATACAACCGAGTCTTAAACCACCAGTACACCCGCACCTAAAATCCCGAAGCTACCTGCCCACTGCGCGCCGCTATATTCCGAGCCTTCTGCGTGTGGGTACCTGCAGTAGGAGTTTCAGAAGTGGCACCGGTGCCGGCTGTCTACCTGAAGGGGGAAAAAAAAGGAAAGGAAAAAACATGCCAGAGATCAATGATGTCGTGGAAGGACGTCACAGAGGCCATACTCAAACAATCACTTTCCATAATGCGTTTGACCACTATTACGGGGAGGAAAACATTGCTGTTTTTTCTTTTTTTCTCATTTTCTTTTTTTC